ATGTCAGGAGCATGTGAAAGCCAGGGGGAGATGAACAGTGTGGTTGAAAATGGCTTTTGACTTAAAAAAAAATTCCCAGCATTCATCTAAAACAATAATAACAGCTAATAATAACAGGGCATGTAATAATGAACTATTCATAGGCATAAGAGGTAATTGTTCAATTAAGATCCGAGAGTTTCTGAGACTGTCTTTTCTGATGGGGTCCCTTTGTTTTTGACTCTGGTAGCACTAATTATTTCCCAGTAGTGCTTTAAACTTGGGATGAAAAAAGCCCTGCTGTCAAATATGACATACAAGTGCTTTATCATTATTAAATACACACACATGCACATAATAAGAAATCCTTGTTGGAATAAAGTTAGGGGTACGTTCAAACTGACAGTCTCCAGGGTTCAGCATTAGCAGTAAGAGGCAGCCAGGGTCTTCACCCGCAGCAGAAGTGATCTGACCTCACTAACTCTCGCCCCTCCAGGGGTCAGAGTGTTTTCTTCGGCATTAGGACTGAATGCCTGGGTTCAAATCCCACCTCCACCACTTACCAGCCAGGTGCCCTGGGCACAAGTCTTCCCCTCTCTGAGCCTCTGTTTCCCCATCTATAACATGGGGTGCAACAGATATTCAGGTTTTTGCAGCCTGACCAGGTTCCAGTTACTCTTTTTTTTTTTTTATTGTCTGTATTCATTAGCCATTGCCACAAAATTGACGCCTTGTACTTGAACAAAATCACGAAAAGTCACTGGCTTACAAAAAAAAAAGTTTTTGGTCCCACGTCAGTTGGGGGCCCTCTGATTCCTCTGAGGCTTGCCTGGGATGACACAGCTCTGTTCCACGTACCTCTCATCTTCCTGGGTGCTGGCCTCGGCAGGTGTGCTAACACCCCATTGGTTACAAGTCCTGCTCTGCCCACAGTGGAAAGATGAAGTGATACTGGAGAGGAATGGCTAACGGGGAGAGTCAGGGCCACTGCTGAAGTCTAGCACAGGCATCAGCGTTCCAACTTTCCTCGGGATCTCTCTCCCCCCGACCTCAGTCCCTGCGGTCCTGGAGAAGTTACATCGCCCCTGGTTCTAGCTCTGCCTTTCAGAGATTCTGAGCCTCAGGTTTTTCTCCATAAAAAGAGATTTAAGGCCTGTTAGGAAGGCCTTAAAAGCTCAGAAGCATCAAACAGAGACCACGTCATAATCAGGAGGGATGTTTTCCTCTAAGCAATTCTATGGCCAATGTGTCGCCTGAAAATATTTTGACCTACCACCAGTTCACGCCCTTTGCTTTGAAGGACATTGACAAAGGTCAACATTAGGATCTTACAGGAACAAACAAAATCTCAACAGCTGGAAAATATTTGAAATTCCCCTGAAACAGCTTTTGAAAACCTTTCAGAAAATCAACACCCACACCATCAAATTATTTAGAAAATCACAATTGAAAAAGTTGCTATCTATTTAGCTAAAAATGTTCCCAGAGGAAAAGTCATAGCCTACAATGATTTCATCATTTTAAAAGAATGCATTTTGCATTCACCTCTATAATTTATGGAATCTTTTTGAGTTAAGAGGGTGTTTTGATTTTGTGGGCCAACCCATCACAAAACTCCTAGAGAAATGACCTCCTTATGGCCCCAGGATAAGTCACAGTCATGTTCCGTGACAACGTTGCCTGCCTTCCAGTGGAAAGATGGGGTGGCGGGGAGGGCATCTGGCTGCAAGGCAATAGTGGTTTCCACACCCTCCTTTCCCACAGAACCGAGACCGGGCTGGGGGAGCTTCCTTTCTCTATATTGCTTTCTGCTGCTTTAGGACAACTGCTGCTTCCAGCCTGCTGATTGGCTGAAGCATGGGCCACAGGACACAATTCTGGCCAATAACACAAGAGGGAATGTTGGCTGGGGGACTTCAGGGAAAACATCTCTCATAGAAAGACACGGAAAGTACCATTTCTCTTTCATCTGGATGCCCCTGAACAACAAAAATGTGAGTGGCTCGGTCGTGTCTGACTCTTTGCAACCCCATGGATTCTAGCCTTCCAGGCTCCTCTGTCCATAGAATTCTCCAGGCAAAAATATGGGAATGGGTTGTCATTTCCTTCTCCAGAGGATCTTCCTGACCTACCAATCGAACCTGGGTCTCCTGTATTACAGGTGGATTCTTTACCATCTTAGCCACCAGGGAAGCCCTGGATGCCTCTGAATCTGAGTGGAATGGCTGAAATAGTGGCTCCATCTTGTGTCTTTGATGGAGACCCATAGTTTCTCTGGTGGCTCAGGCAGTAAAGAATCTGCCTCCAACGTGAGAAACCCGGGTTTGATCCCTGGGTTGGGAAGATCCCCTGAAGGAGGGCATGGCAACCCGCTCCAGTATTCTTGCTTGGAGAATCCCCATGGACAGAGGAGCCTGGTGGGCTACAGTCCACGGGGACACAAAGAGTCGGACATGCCTGAGCGATTAAGCACAGCACATAGGAGGAAAACGCCAGCACACTTGGTAGGTGGTGACTAGCACAGTGCCTGATAAATGCTTAAAGGAATAAATGAGCTGGCAGAACCTTTAATGAATCACAGAGACTGAATTAACCAGCCTTACTGCCCTCCCTAACTTGGGACATCTTGCTGAGATAATAAATATTCTTTTCTTCAAGCCAACGTAAGTTTTCTGTGACTTGCTGCCCCAAACACGTAAATGTATGAACACCACAGCCACAATTCTCTCTTCTTCGAAAAGCCCAGGGCATCACTTGACCTTCACAAAGTCTGCGCCCATTTTACAGATGAGGACACTGAGTCTCAAGAGTTTCGGACCTACCTACCATTCCCCAGAAGGCTTGGCTCAGCTGGGGAGGGTATCCCATCCTCCAGGATAGGATTGGCGCAGGCATGACACATGACCCAAGTCCATCCAAAGAGAATGGCTCTTGGGACCTCCATTAAGAATGCTGGAGGGATTCCCTGGTGGCTCAGTGGTAAAGAATCCGCCTGCCAACGCCAGAGACACGGGTTCCATTCCTGTCTGGGAAGATCCCACATGCCACAGAGCAACTAAGCCCGTGTGCCACAGCTACTGAGCCTGTGCTCTAGGGCCCGCGTGCCGCAACTGCTGAAGCCCAAGTGCCAAAGCCCGTGCTCCACAAGAGAAGCCACTGCAATAAGAAGCCCGTGCGCCGCAACTGGAGTAGCCCCCACTAACCACAACTCGAGAAAAGCCTGTGCAGCCACAAAGGCCCAGCACAGCCGAAGATAAATAAATAAAATTATTTTTTAAAAAAAGAATGCTGGAATGAGGAAGCAAGTAGCCTTGGGAGAAACTGGGTCATCCGTGGACCACAAGGGCAGCCCGTCAGCCCCCGGAAGCCAACGTAGAGGGAGATGGAAAGAATGGGTGTGTGGGGAGGTTGGCGCCCCCTAGCCACCCTCAGTGGTAATACAAGGAGTCTCCCCTTCCTTCTCAGATAGCTGAGCCTACTCCCATCCTTCAAGTAATTGACATCCTTCTAACAGACTGGGAACATGGAGGCCCAGAGAAGTAAAGTGACCTTTTGCCACTGTTTGGGCAGAGGGTGCAAAGCCAGGTCTTCAGACCCCATGCCCTGTGTGTCTCCCGCAGCAGCTGTGCTTGGCCAGGTTCTCCAGAGTCCCAAGCTCTTCTCAACTAAACCTTCAGAAGGGTCCTAAGACAGGGTCTGAGCCGGGACCGGGAACCTGGGAGGCCAGAGGGGAACCGGTTGGCTGTGGATTCATCCAGGGTGGAGCAGCAGGATCGGGTATTTTGGGGGCCCCTTCTCATGCCCAGAGGCTTGGAGCTGCCCTGGGGCTGGATCAGCAGTGGAGTGTGACCCTGGGGAGATGGGCGGCCCTCGGAAGGGAAGTGGGTCATCCTTCAGCTCCAGCTCACGTTCACGGCTCCGCTGGTGTGTGGTCCCAACCAAAGGTTCTCTCTCGACTCCAATGGGCCCTGCTGTCCTTATTAGGGCTGCTCTCACCCTCACCGTCACCCCACTGGACACCGGATGGCTCACCCACCTCCATGGCTGTCATCTCCGCCTCTGCTCTGCCCCTCCCAGCTGCTTGCCTACTCCCCCCGAACCCGCATCACTCTGCCATGATGAGCTTTACCATCTTCCCACTGGCATCATTTTTCCCCACCAACGTCATCACCTCTCCCAGCACTTCCAGAGACTTAACTGTCTCCCCACAGAACCATTATGCCTCCACCAGTACCCTCTCCTCCTCACTCCCTTCATCTCTACCTCCCCATCACACCCCAAGCTCTCCCCCATCTCTCAGTCACCACTGCCCCCCGAGTCCAGCCCCTCCAACCATCACCCTGAACACCGCCTTGGTCGTAACTCCTGCCCCGCCTTCTTATCCCCACCCTACCCCCAACCACAGAGGTATCTCTTCGCTCACCCATCTCCGTGCTGTCTTCCCCCCATGCCTGCTACCACTCCCCCATCATCTTCCCCACAGTCTCCACCATCAATGAACATTTATTGAGCACCAACAATCCCAGATCCCCAGACAGAACACACAGAAGGCGCAGCCCTGCCCCGGGGGCCCGGCTCCTGATCAGAGCCACAGCACTTCAGCCCAGGGAGGCCCGTGCAGCTGGCCCTGCACCTGGGATGGGGTCCTGGGGCCCCAGCCAGGCTCCGGTTCGGGGCAGGGGTTGGGCCACTTTCCTGAGAGCAGAGCAAATAAATAAATGAAGAGGCGGGGGCTGAGTCCCGGTGGGCAGAGACCCTGGTGTCCCTTACTGTGACTCCATGGGAGTGAGACAGGCGACCAGGCGTCCTATGCCCAGGCCAGGGAGGTGGGGCGGGGGTGAGGGGGTGGGCAGGAGCCTGGGGACCAGAGGGTTCTGGGGCCTCCCCGGCATCTCTGCCCGGCCCTCACCTCTGGGGGTCGAAGGAGGGTATGGGGGGGCACACCCTGGTGGGGGGCACCTCTGAAATGCAGCTGGACTGGAAATGGGCGGCGGAGGGGACCCTGCTCCTGCTCGCAGGGCCTAGAGCGGGGCGTCGTCAGTCCTCCACTTGCGGGGGTAACTCTGCTGGTGGCCATCGCAGCTGGGGTTCCCCACGTTGTCCAGAGGCACCACCACCTCGTTAGGGTTGGAATTCTTGTTCAGTTCCACCACGCGGGGCACCACCGAGGACCAGCGATCTGTAGTGAGTGGGGGAGTGCGGGGTGAGGGTGGCCAGAGAGTGCATAACATATACATTGAGCGCCTTTGGTGTACCAGGCACTCAGCAGTGCTCTAAAGGAAAAGGAAAGTGAAGTCGCTCAGTCGTGTCCGACTCTTTGCAACCCCATGGACTGCAGCCTACCAGGCTCCTCCGTCCATGGGACTTTCCAGGCAAGAGGACTGGAATGGGTTGCTATTTCCTTCTCCAGGGGATCTTCCCGATCCCGGGATCGAACCCAGGTCCCCCACATTGTAGGCAGGTGCTTTACCATCTGAGCCACCACGGAAGTCAGTACTCTAAGGGGGAAGGTATATTATCCCCGCTTTACAGAGGTGGTAACGGGCTCGGAGAGGTCATGGAGCCCACCTCGGAACACAGGAGTAAGATGAAAGAATCAGGACTCAAGCCTGGGTCAGGAGGCCTGCGAGCCCAAGGCTGAGTGGAAGCGAGAGCCCAGGCTGTCACTGGCAGCAGAGGAAGCTCGGCGGCCAGCCCATCGCACCCTCCCATTCTACAGACGGGAATACTGAGTCCCAGGGAGGGACAGGACTGCTCCAAACAAACCGGTGCTGAGGATGACCCGGGCTCCCCCTCTGCGCCCCTCAGTCCCCCCACACCTCCCGAGCGCCCCCACTCACCCCTCCGAAGGCGGCCCACGGTGTGTGAGAAGCCGTAGTAATGGTAGCTCTCGTTCTTGCCCGGGTCCTCGTTAATGATGCCCAAGTTCTGGTTCCAGTGAGACCAGTTCACCTCGTCCACCCTGGTGGGGCCACAGCAGACAAGGGTCAAGGAGAGCCCCCGGCCCAGAGACAGAACCGCTTCCCCACCCCCAGGCAGCCTCCAAGCTCCAGCCTTCCAGCACACCCTCCTACTTTTTTAATTCTTTTTTTAAATTAAAAAAAATGTTATTATTTATTTTTATTTGGCTGCACCAGGTCTTAGTTGCAGCACTTGGGATCTAGTTCCCCAACCAGGGAGTGAACCCATGCTCCCTGCATTGAGAACGCAGGGTCTTTGCCACTAGACCACCAGGAAAGTCCTTGTTTTTTTTTCTTCTTAATTTCTGATAATATATATAGGCAGATAGATAAAACATAAAATTTGCTATTTCACTTTTTCTTCTTTTTTTTTTTTTGGCCTCTATACTCAGCTTGCAGGATCTTAGTTCCCTACCCAGGGATGGAACCTGGGACCTAGCAGTGAGAGCTCGGAGTCCTAACCACTGGCCCACCAGGGAAGTCCCTCACCCACTTTAGAGCATACAGTTCAGTGGCATTAAATACATTCCTAAGATTGTGCAGCCATCACCACTACCTAGTTCCAAAACCTTTTCATCTCCCCAAGCAGAAATTCTGTGCCCATTAAGCAGTAGCTCCCCATCCCCCTTCCCACCAGCCCCCGGCAGCCTCTGTTCTACTTTCTGTCTCTATGGATTTATCTATTCTGGACATTTTGTGTTAAATAGAATTGATCAGTATGTGGCCTTTGTGTCTGACTGCTTTCACGTAGCATCAGGTTTTCAAGATCCATCCACGATGTAGCCTGCATCAGTACTGCATTCCTTTTCATGGCTAAATAGTATCCCATTGCCTGCAAAGACCTTATTTGTATGTCTATATATCCATTCATCTGTGGATGGACATCCTCTTTCTTGTCAGTCTCACTCTTATTATTGAGACACCCTCATAAAGTCAGTTTATACACTCTTGGGCCAAAATGGACTCGAGATAATTTTTACTGTTTTAAACTATTTATTTGACTGTGTTGGGTCTTAGTTGTGGCACATGGGATATGTGATCTTCATTGTAGTATGCAGGATCTTTAGTTGTGGCATGCAGGATCTTGTTCCTGGACCAGGTATCCAACCCGGGCCCCTGTGTTGGGAATGAGGAGTCTTAGCCACTGGACCACCAGGGAAGTCCCAATTTTTACTTTCTAAAATTCTTTTTTTAAGTTATTTTTATTCAATTTCTGTTTTGTGGGGGGCAAGTGCTATGGGTCAGGACCCAGCAAGGAAGATACATCCTTTGCTCCCATTTTACAGATGAGGAAACTGAGGCTGGTTGAACTTTTCGTCCAAGGTCACAAAGCTGATAAATCACAGTCGAGATTTGAACTTTGGATCCAAAACAGGGCTGGGCAGTGGGGGTTGTCATAGTGGAAACTGACTTTGCCTGATTCCAAGCATGATGCTGATGCTCCATGCTGGCAACCACGTTACAAAGAATGAGTCCTCGTAAAAGACAAGATTCACCCAGGGGTTCCCCGGAAGAAGCTGGCATTCCCCGTGCATCTGGGTAATGTCCCAAGCCCTGGAAGCTGCTGATAACTCAGTTTCTCCATTTCAATTAAAGCCCTGAGGGGACTTCCCTGGTGGTCCAGTGGCTAAGTCCACACTCCCTATACAGGGGGCCCAGGTTCAATCCTTCATCAGGGAACTAGATTCCACATGTAGCAACTAAGAGTTCCCATGCCACAACTAAAGATCCCGCAAGCTGTAACTGAGGGATCAAAGATCCCACAGGCCACAACTAAGACCCAGGGCAGCCAAATAAATTTTTATTTATATTTATTTTAAAAAATGTTTAAATAAATATTTTTTTAAAAATTGAAGCCCTGAAACTCATTCCATTGCATCACCAGTAGAGGGTGGTGCCATGGGATAAGCATTGCCCCTGAGTCTGCTTCCTCCAGCAAACGAGAGAGCAGTAATACCGGCTGCTTCAGGGTGTCTGCCCCAGTGTGCCTGGGGGCTGGCCGGGCACATCTCACACGCCAACCTGTCTAATCCGCACAGCTGGCCAAGAGCGTGATGCTGTCATTGTCCCCATTTCACAGATGAAGAAACCGAGGCTGAGAACTGAACCCACAGCATCAGCCAGTGGAACTGAGCTCCGGTCAGGCCCCCTGGGGCCTCAGTGGCTCAGAAGTGGCAATGGGTAGAAAGCATAAGGAGGCCCGGTGGTCTCCCCCATCCGGCCTCACCTGAAGCACCACCTGCGGTCTGGAGTGCCGTCCGAGCTCTTGCCCACGGTCACCATCTCGCCGGAGCGGAAGGCCTTCCTCAGGAACACGGGGAAGGAGCGCTCGATGTCCAGGATGGTGGTGGCCCACTGCGGGGAGGGAGGGTGGGCGGGAGGCGGGTGAGCCGCGCCTAACTACTCTCAAGGCAGGAAGGGTGCAGTGAACCAGGCTTTCTGCTCCCGCCACCCCTGCATTAAAGACTCAAATACCCACAGGCGCCTGGCCGGAGAAAATGAAAGAAGGGTCAGCAGCCCGTGCCCCAGGGCACTAGGTGTCCCCTCGGTGCTGGGCGCCCCCAGGGAGGGGTGGGGACTGGGGCAGACCAGGGCGGGCAGGAGACCCCCACCCCTGTAAAGGGGGCAGCCATCTCTCATCCACCCAAGAATGTGGGCCCGCCTTGCTAGGCTTCCAACTTTTCAAGAAAGGCCAGAAATCTGAATTTTTCTATGAAATCTCTCAATTAAATTTTTTTGCATTAAGTTTTTAAAAAATATATAGTGATGCAGAAAACAAATAAATCTTTGCTGGTCAAATCCAGTCCATGGGCTGCGAGTTGGTGTGTTATGAGTTACACCCAGCGGGGAAACTGAGGCCCGGGGGGAAGGAAGCGGTAGGGATAAAGGGTAAGAGCAGGTCCGATGGTCCCCTGAGACCCAGACCTGGGGGGAGGACGTTGTGGAGTTGTTTTTCCTCACTGCGCCATTTCCTGAAAACGTACCAAGTCACAGTAAGTGTGGGGGCTGCCTTCCCGGGCCTCGCGGTAAGGCTGCTTATTGGGAACCCCAGTTCTGGAAATGCCTGCAGCCAGGCAGGCTGCGACACCCTGCCCCCAGGACCTCTGCCCCCCTCACTTGCACAGAAACCAGCGGGAAACAAAGGCAGCAGCTCCCCAGTGCGTGCACACCAACCACACGTGCTTGGGTGGGGGGGCAGTGAGAGTGGGGAGCCTGGAAGCCACCCCTGGGCTGGTGGAAGCCCCTCTGATGAGGATGCTAATGCTTCCCGGCTCTGGGGTGGCCTGCTCCCATGCCAGCCTGGTGTCTTGGGCCCGGCAGGGGCACAGAAGCTGCCCCTGGGCTCCATGTGGAACTCCCATTGAAATGTGAGGCTCTCTGAGCATTTCCGGTGCCAAAAGCACTCCCTCCCTGGAGCTGGGGGAAGCTGATTGCATCCCATGAATGGGACTGCAAGGGAAGTTGAGCTGCTGGTCAGGCAAGAAGACACATGGAAACAGACCTGCAGGCTTCGTCTGTGCCCATTAAACAGACAGGGAAGTGGAGGCGCAGCTCACGCAGAGCACCAGGCTGAGAAGGTGCAGCAGGTCAGGCGACCCCAGGGGCAGAGCGGCCGGCAGGGCGGGCTCACCTGCAGCTTCCAGATGTGCTTGCTCTCCTTGGACACCTGCCCCACCGTCTCCCCCATGAGGGCGATGAGCATGTTAAGCAGCAGCACGAACGTGAGGATGATGTACGTGACCAGCAGGATGATGAAGACCACGGGGTACTTGGTGCTGCTCAGCATCTCCAGGTCGCCCATGCCGATGGTGAGCTTGAAAAGGTCCAGGAGGAAGGTGCTGAAGGTCTCGCTGTCGCGGCATGAGGGGTAGGTGGGCACAGTGCAGTTGGCATGGTCCTTGTCGCACACCTTCAAGTTGGCACACGGGTTCAGGAGCGAGACCAGGGCTGCGGGAGGGACGGCAGTGACGGTCATGGAGGGTGAGCGGTGGGGAGGCCCCTTCCCACTTGATGAAGGGGAACACTGAGGCCCGCGGAGGGCAGGGAGGCTGGCCCAAGGTCACCCAGAGTGGAAGCCAAGCCAGTGGTTGAACCTGGGTCCCCCTGCATGCAAAGCCTTTGCTCTTTCCACAAACTCTCCTTAACAAGGAAGAGGGTCCCAGGACTCAGTCTAGTGGTTCTCAACTGGGGATAATTTGTCCCCCAGGGCACCTTTGGCAAGTTTAGAAACATTTTTGGTCTCACAAGTGGAGGAGGGACACTTTGGGCACCTACTGGGTCAAGACCAGGGATGCTGCCAAACATGCTACCGTGCAGAGGACAGTCCCCACTGCGGGGAACCGTCTGAGCCCACATGTCAGAGCCAGGCTGAGAGCTGACTGTTCTTAGAGGCCCTGGGAGTCTGGGATGCCAGCATTCCAGGAGCAGACTCACTCTCGTGTTCCTGTTTCCCAGCTCACAGCAGCACAGAAAGGAAGGGAGGAAGGTGAGACTAGGTACCAGCCCTGACTGCCCCCAGAGCTATGCTCACTAAGGCCATCACCCCCTCCAGACGTCAGCTAACTGTGGTGCTCATCCCTTCCCATGAAGCCCAGATGAAACCTCTGAGTCCTGCTCCCTTTTGGATCCTGGGCGTCGGATGGCCAGTCACCCGCCCTTTGGGGACCAGCCCAACAGCTTGATTACCTTCCCCAACCCTGGTCCCGCCCCCATGGCCTGTGCCACTGAGGTCCCAAGGCATCGTGACATCAAGGAGACGGCCTAGTAGAGGCTTTGTAGCTCCTGCCACCAAGAGGATAGAATCTATTTCCACACTCTTTGATTTTTACTCTTTTATTTTTTAGCTGTTTGCACGATATATGGGATCTTAGTTCCCAGACCAGGGGTTGAAGCCATGCCCCATGCAGTGGAAGTGTCGAGTCTTAACCACTGGACCACCAGGGGATCCTCATTTCCCCACTCTTTGAGTCAGGCTGAGCATTGTTTTGGCCAACAAGGTGAGACAGATAGTGACACTGTGCCAAGCAGTGACCTCAAACACCTCCGCTCACATCTGGGAACCCTCAGGCCACCGTGTGACCAAGTCCACACTAGCTGGCTAGAGATGAGTGACCCTGAGGAAGACAGCAAAGTCACCCACAGTGGAGGCCACCCCTAACTACAGTAGTCAGCTGCATCCAATCCGCCAACTGAGCAGACACGGGAGCCCAAATCTGGTCCAGGTCAGCACAAGCACCCAGGAGACCCATGGACTTGAGCATAATAATATATGGTGGTTGTTTGGGGGAGTTCCCTGGCGGTTAAGACTCCATGTTTCCACTTTAGGGGGCACCGGTTTGACCCCTAGTTGGGGAACTAAGATCCCACATGTTGTAGGACATAGCCAAAAATAAAAATGGTGGTTGTTTAAAGTCATTAAGTGTTTGGGTGGCTTCTTTTGCCACAGTAGCTAAGATGACAGTTTTACTGTTTCCTAGCTTTTGAACTTGGGCGTGTTATTTAACCTTACTTAAGCTAAGCCTCAGTTTCCTTAACTGTAAGAAGTCATAAGAAACGCACTTCCCTTACAGGCTTGTTGGGAGGAGTAAACGAGGCAGGGATGGGAGAGGACTTAGCTCAACGCCAGGCACACGATGAGAACCCTACAAACGCTGGATATTCTCCTCCACACACCATGGCGGCTGCTCCAGCCCCGGTACCACCCCGCCAGGCTCACCTGACGCGTAGCCAATCATGAAGAGCACGTAGACCAGCAGGAAGCGGAAAAGGTCTTTGAAGAGGATCTGGAGACCCCGGTGGGAATACGGAGGCAGAGATGAGCCACGTGGTTTCTCACTTTCCCAACTCCTCATCCCACACCTCTCTCCAGCTCCACCCCGCCCCGCCCCATGTCCAGGCCCTGCCCGCTGCCCCACCCTGCCCCGCAGCCGCAGGGCCGGCGGCACTGTCTGTGCACACGTGGTGTGTGCAGCTCCCTCCAAGCACACACAAAAGTCCAGGAGCAACCGCCCGCCCCGTACCTTCTGGATCATGATGCTATAGGTCCCCGTCAGCTTCAGCCCGCGGGTGAAGTAAAGGGCGTTCATCCAGCCCAGGACCAAGGCAAAGACCATGACAGCCAGGTACGCCTCGATCCCCGCCAGGTAGAGGGCCGCTGAGACAATCACCAGCACGGAGTAGATGAAGCTACAGGGCAGCAGAGACGACGAGAGGAACCAGAGGGGAGACGGGCACATGAGACCCTGGACGGGGGGGCAGGCCCCCAACCCTTCTAGGCACTAGGACGTCCTGACGCCGCCCAGAAGAGAGACCGTGAGACCATGTGGCTTCACGGGGTTCCCCAGCATCCTGTTAGCCAGACTTGTCAGTTAACTGGCAACTGGGCTTCCCTGGCGATCCAGTGGTTAAGAAGCCGCTGGCCAATGCAAAGGACATGGGTTCAATCCCTGGTCCGGGAAGATGCCACAGGGCAACTAGGCCTGTGTGCCACAACTTCTAGCCGATGCTCCACAACAAGAGAAGCCACCACAAGGAGAAGCCCGCACACCACAAGTAGCCCCTGCTTGCCACAACCAGAGAAAGTCTGCATGCAGCAACAAAGACCCAGTGCAGCCCCAAAAAATTAATAATTATTTTAAAAAATTAACTGGCAACCAATGTGTGTGTAATTGCCCTGGGGCCCTACAGAACCCAAAGGGATGTCCTTTGGAGTTGCTAGAGGAAGATTCAGTGGTGCTCAGAGGAGATTTTGTGGCTTAGTGAAATTTTTTTTTTGGCCCTAACATGTGACATGTGAGATCCTAGTTCCCTGGCCAGGGATCAAACCTGTGCCCCCTGCAGTGGAAGCATGGAGTCCTACCCCCCAGAATTTTCAATGTTCTCTAACTCTAAGAAAAAGGGCAGCAATTCATCCTGTGCCCCAGGCAGACATCATTAATCAACCCCAGCACTCTTTCCCACTGAACACAGACACAGCCTTGATTCTTAACATGGGCACGCCTGGCAGACATTAGCAATCAATCACAAGCATAGGAGGTTAAATTTATTTCTATCCATGGTGCATATAGTGATAACTCTCTAGCAACCAGAATCTTGCTTTAACCAGAGGACTCTTTTACTTGACAATGGCCTGACTTTGGGCTACAGTAGCTGATCAGGCTGGGTGAGTTCACTCCTAATAAGAGTCACACACACCCCCATCACCAAACCTCGAGGATGTCCCTCCCAACCCCACCTTCCTCACCCAGAAGCTGCCACCCCAGGGACCTCTACTCACTAGAGCAGCTGGAAGGAGCCGTCGATGAAGAGAGAGTTCACTCCAGGGCATTTCTTCATGAACAAGTCTTTGATCTGGAGGAGGGGAGCGGGTGGGTAAGAGAGGTGGAGTCAGCAGAAGTGTAGAGCGGACAGTGGAGTGAAGAGAGGTGGAGGGGGCCTTCCCTGAAGGTCCAGTGGTTAAGACTCAGCGTTCCCAATGCAGGGGGCATGGGTCTGAGCCCTGGCTGGGGAAGTTCAAAGTGCCATGGGGTGTGGCCAAACATTAAACAAATTAAAGAGGAGGAGAGAGAGGAGGGTCCAGGCAGGGTGAGGCTGGGGCCAAGCGCTCACGTTGGTGAAAAAGAACAGGATCCCAGTGAAGAGCGTGATGATCTCGCCGGCCAGCCTCAGGTAGTCCACCGTGGTGCGGTAAGGGTATGGCGGCTGGTGGGGGGCGGGCAAGGGTCATGTAAGTCCTCACCCAGCCTCTCCAAATCCAGATGTTCCCCAACAGCCCAAACCTCTGGGTTCCGTGGAGCCTCCTCCCTCACCCCTCCTCCCCCTGGGTGTGGGGGGCACCTTCCCACACTGTTCCAAACCTTCTCCAGTACCTCCCACAGGGGACCCAGCTGTGCCCCAGCTCCTGCCGCGCTCGAGGTCACTCACAGTGCCCTCCAGAGGCTGATAGTAGGCAGTGAGGGTAAAGATGATCATGGCGCACAGATAGGAGACCACGTTGATGTAGAAGGAGACGGCCCCGAACTTCCGCCACTTGTCCCGCAGTAGTTCGTTGATGGGCTCCACGGCCAGCATCTCGTGGCGGTTCTGTGGGGGAGCAGGGTAGGCAGGGGGTGGACAGGCTGACTCCAATACGCCTTCCCCCACCCTCTGCCCCGAGAGCGCTTTCTCCTCCTGACCTGTTCTTCAGTGACACCCAGACTTCTGGGCTCAGCATTTGAGGCTCTGCCCAGTTCTGTCCCAACTTACCTTTCTAGCCTGTTCTAGACTCATAGAACCTAGAGCTAGAAAGCTCCTGAAAGAACATCTATTCCTGTGGTCCCCAAATTCTAATCAGTGGATGTTGCCAAGTTGCTGGCACCAAAATCACCTATGGAGCTTGTTAAAACACATAAATCCCTGGGGACTTTCCTGGCAGTCCAGTGGTTTAGACTCTGCACTACCAAGGCAGGGGGCACGAATTAGATTCCCTGGTCAGGGAACTAAGTTCCTGCATGCTGCAGCCAAAAAATTTTTGGTGAAAATAAATAAATAAACCCCTGGGTTTCAACCTCAGACATTCTGATTCAGGAAGTGGGAACTGGGAAATTTAGCCCCAGGATGATAAATACTTGACTCACCACAATTTTCCAAGTCTGAACCCAGGACAGACAGCAATAATTGAGTCCCACACAATCGTTCTCTATACAGTTTCCTGGGCAGACACTACCAATCAATCAGAGTTTGCAGCAGAGATGCTAAAACCTACCACCACCCCCAGTTTAAATCAGGTTGGTCACTGATTTGAAAGATGAGGGAAGTGAGCTCCGGTATGAGAAGGCATCTGTCCAAACTCACAGAGCCAGGGCTAAAAGGAAGACCTTCTGTACGCAGGCCCAAGGGCTTTCTGCCCCATTTGTGCAGCATCCTGTCTCTTTAAGGATTTGAGTTTCTTTATCATCAAGGATATGTGCAATGATGTAGTACAGAGATGCCACTGCAATGTTATTCCTGATAGTTAAGTGCAGAAACAAACTCAAACGACCAAGAATAGAGGAATGGTTAATTAGAATGTGGTACTTTTCCACGCAGCAATGATACTGCAGAAGAATATTTAATGGTGCAGAACGATGTTCATAAAAAATACTGCTAAGTTAAAAAGAGAGCTTTTAAAAACTTCATATAACAAATGCTAATGATAATAGCTGACACATAATGTTTACCCTGCGCCTGGCTGTTCATTTGGTCCTCCTAGCAACCCAATGGGAAAGGCTCTGTTTTTATCCGCATGGTACCAAAGAGGAAGCTGGGACTCAGAGAGGTTGGGGAGTTTGTGCTGAGTCACACAGCATGACAGTTACAGCGCCAGGACCCTGAACCAGTCCTGCGCGCCCATGAAGTCTGACCCTCACAGTCCTGCCATTCCCCCCACGCCAGATGCCGTTCTGGGCACTTGGCTGGCCTCTTCCGTCGCACCCAGTCCACAGACCCTCCGCTCTGGCCCCTCCAGCCCCGCACCCACCTCGATCTTGCTGTTGTACACCAGGATCTCCAGCACAGAGGTCTCCTCCCCGCACGTGTCCAGCGAGGAGAGGTCGTACAGTGAGGAGTACACCGGCCCGTAGGCCCAGTCCTTGAACTTGCGTGACAGGTGCCTGGTGTCCTCATCTGTCACCTCCCGACGGATGATGTGTTGGAAGATCTGTGTGGGAGGAGGAGGATCAGGGGGTCTGGGGGTGGGGTATGGGTAGGGGTACTGCCGCTGGGCCACTCACATGGGAGGGACCCCAGCAAATAGCACCTCCCCAGAGAGCAGGATGGACGAGGGAAAACATTTACTGAGCACTTGCTGGATGCTTTCCTCACATCACCTGGTTGAATTCTTACCCTTACCATCCTGTTTGACAGATGAGCAAAGAGCATGTGTGCTATGTCGCTTCATTGGTTTCCGACTTTTTGTGACCCCATGGACTGCAGCCCGCCAGGCTCCTCTGTCCATGGGATTCTCCAGGCAAGAGTACTGGAGCGGGTTGCCATTTCCTGCTCCAGGGGATCTTCCCGACCCGGGGATCGAACTCGTGTCTCCTGAGTCTCCTGCACTGCAGGTGGATTCTTTACCGCCAAGCGACTGGGGAAGCCCCCATGAGCAAACAGAGGTTCAGAGAAAAGGAGAATGTTCCCTGATGCCACACAGAAGGTCAGGGGCTGAGCCAGAACCCCAGCCACGAAGGGCAGAGGAGGACTGCAGGGCTGCAGCTCTGGGGCTCAGCCCTCTGTCAGTGGCAGGCCCTGGCTGGTGAGAGTGGGGCAGTGAGCATCCAGCAGGGTGGGATGAGCAGAGAGGCGCTGCGATGAAGTTGAATAGCCTTGCTGGACAATAGGGAGCCACAGCAAGCTCTTGAGCTAGAGCATCTGCACTCTGGGGTGGGCCGGATGGGAGGCGGATGTGCACATCAATAACACATGCCAGCAGCAGCCGCCCCGCACTCCAGGCACACATGTGTGCGTGCGTGTGTGTGTGTGTGTGTGTGGTGACCCAGCCCCGCACTCACCCCAATCTTGCCCGTCTTGGCGGCCATCATGAGGGGCGAGAGGCCGTCGTTGTTGAGCACGGCCTCCAGGTTGCTGTCGGGGAAGAGGCGGGCGCACTTGAGCAGCAGCAGGTCGTACATCTTGGTGACGAACTTGGTGTTCTCGCGGGTGTTGTCGGCGATGGCCACCAGCGCGTGCAGCACGGTGTTGCCGCGAGAGTCCTGGCGCCGCATGTCCGCCTTCTTGTGTGGGTTCTCCGTCAGGTATTTGACGATGTGGGGCTGGTTGGTGCAGGCGGCCAGCGACAGGGGCAGCTCACCTGCAGGGCAGGGGGTCGGGGCACCGGGTCAGCGACGGGGCCCCACCCCCGGGAGATGCCGTGACAGCAGACACGGCGCCCACGGTCAGTGTGAACAAGCCCTGGCTGACTGCAGCTGTCTGGGGGCGATGTCCCCGGGGAGACGGATGTGGCTACTTGAGGTACGGCCACATCGGAGGCCATGAGAGACTCTGAATGACTTTGTTTCTGAACCCCAAATAATATGTGTCTAAGCGGGGGTAGAAATTGAAAATCTTTCATGGGTCCAACTGGGCCATGGCAGTGATGCCCTTTGGACCCTGCATCTGACCATCAGTGCCAGCTTAAGTCAGACCAGAGGATGCAAGTGATAAGGTATTGGGGGGGAGGGGAGAGCCCACCACAGCCCTCTGATCCCATCACAATGCCCACTGCACAGATGGGACAGCTGAGGCTCAGGCAAGAGAGGTGATGCTCCACTCCTCAAAAGTGAGACATCAGTGACCAAGACCAATGAGGCAGCCTGTGGTCAGCGCGGCCCTGGGTGTCTCGGGTGGTGTCAGGGCTGCCAGCACCACCGTGTACCCCCCGCGGCCCCCAGCTGCTGCCCCGTGTGCCCCAGCCCCCACCAGCCCCTCCTCACCGAAGTAGAAGTAGCCGCCCTCGTCCTTGGGCTGGAAGAAGCGGCCCCGTGCCTGGGCATGGACGTCGGCTCCTTGGGCCACCAGCAGCTCCACATAGTGTTTGCAGCGGCGTTCGATGGCGATGTGCAGGGCAGTCTGGCCTGGGAGGAGGTGGGGGACAGTCACCAGGGGCCAGGGGGGGTGCAGAGCTCAGACCAGGTGTGGGGGGTGCTGGGGCGCAGAAGGTGGAGATCCACCCCAGGGCAACAAGGGGACCTTCAGACATTCCCAGACGTGGAGTATCTGAGGCCTGAGGTCCCAGACCTGCTGCATCACACCCACAGGAGCTTAGGCTCAAGGGATATCCAACTTGGAGGACCCCAAATGTGGGGACTTTGCAGACTCGTAAGAGCCTTTCACGCCAGAGGAAACAACAGCATTGTGGTCTCACAGGATTTGGGATGCAAAATTCACAGCCTCTGAATCTGACATCCAGGAATCCGAAACGTCAAGGTGGATTCAAGGATCTCAGAATTTAGATCCAGGGATCTGGGGCTGGTGACACCTCTGCCTTTTCGAGCTGTTGGCTCACAGGACTATTATCACAAAGCCTCAGAGTCTCCAAAACCAGAGCATCTTGGGTCCAGGTTTCCAGGTTCACGGCCCCTTCGGCTCATTGCATGTGAGAACCTTGGAACCCTTGATTTTGGAACTCAAAATTTTAAAGTTGGAAGGGGTAGTTATTGTTGTTCTTCAGTCCATTTGTTCATTCATTCGACAACTAGTTCCAGGACATGCTGGCGCTCGCGGCCCAGGCTGAAGTGAGGTGTTGCTGGGGGTGAGGAGGGGTTGGACAAGTGAGGAGGGAGCCCCCCTCCCGTCCAGCCCAGGGCCCCACCTCGGTAGTAGATGTCTCGGAAGGGCGAGTTGATGAATTCCCGCATGTTGCCCGTGCGCTCGGCGATGTCCAGAAGCACGGGGATGGTGTCGTTGCGGCCGTTGCTCAGATTCAGCAGGGCCTTGGGCAGGCAGGTCTTCCCGGTGGACGGCTCTGCGGGGAGACACGTGCAAGAAGAGGAGTGCTCGGCCCGAGGCCCAAACTGCTGGGCAGCGGGGGACAGGGCACGGGGCAGGGAGCCAGAGGTCCTGGCCGCGTTCTCCTTTCTGAGCCTGGACCCCATCTGCTCCCCGACCCCACCCCAGGGTACTGAGAAGGTCAAAGAAACTCAGAGGAGCAGAAGGTCTTTGAAACGTGGGAAGCTGCAGCCTGTAGAGAGACGGTACCTACCAAAGCATATTTGGAAGGACTTTTTTTTTTAATATGGACCATTTAAAAAAAAATTATTTGTCTGCATTGGTTTATTTGCAGCAAACAGGATCTAGTTTCCTGACCAAGGATTAAATCCAGGCCCCCTTCTTTAGAAGGCCAAGTCTTAACCACTGGACCACCAGGGAAGTCCCTGGAGGGGACTTTAAAAAAAAATCAGATAAAAAGGGGGAATGCTGGGTTAATCAATGCCAACCACCGCCATTTCTTCACTACAGGACTTCTCAGAGCCTTTAATCTGCTAATGAAGACTGGGAACCTCTAAAAACAGACCCAGGAGGCAGCCTTTGCTTGAACACAGATCCTTTACCCATGAAGTGGTTGCACTAGCGCCCCTAGAGGGGAGCAGAGCGAGTGCAGAGTTACCCGAAGTGGGGGCTGTGTGCCATAATAGACGGGAAACTATCTTAGAGGATTTGGGGGCTCCTGCAGAGGCAGCAAATAAAAACAGCAAATGCCCAGGTGTGCAGGGTGTCAGCCCCTTGTCAAGCCTCTCCCGTGAAGTCAGTCTCCGTTCGGTACTAAGCGGTCTTTAACACCTCCCCCTAATGCTTGCTAATACCTCTTTGCGATTTTCTTTCCCTTGTATTAATTTTTATGGTGACATGAGTGGATTTATATGTTTAAAAGATAGAGTCAATGAAAAGAGGACTGGCTTTTAACCAGGCACAGGGCAATACAGCCCGATGCAGGAGGGGGCCCGGAACGGGACAGGGGATGGGAGAGGCAGGAGTGGGCTGAGGGGCTCGCTCTGGAGCCTGGACTCCTGGAGCTCAAATCAGGCTTTGCTCCCCACTTCTGATTTGTGTGTGACCTTTTCTCCGCTTCCATTTCCTGTCTCACTACATTGAGCCCACAAAGAGAAATCATAAGCTAATAGATATCTGTTGATGAGCCCAGCACCAGGTAGACAGGCATTCTCAGTAAGTAATACTGTTGCAGTTATTGTTCTACCAGAAATGCTTTTGAGACTCTCCTTAGATGCCAGGAATCAGTGGAGAGAATGGGAAAGACTCGCAGACTCACAGAGACCTGAATTCCAGTCCCACCGCCCCTAGGAGTGAAGTTGCTCAGACAAGCCTCATTCTGGCTATTTCTTGCTACATCCCTGGGACCCAGCCCAGTGTCAACAGCAGGTAACTATGTACTTAATAAGAACAGGCTTCAGCTTTCCATCTGCATAAGGTGGGGGCGCCGAATGCTGGCCGCGGCACCTAGGGAGTCTGCTCAGACCCACGAGCCTTGAGGTGGATTGGTCTGTTTCCTAACTGACAGGGAATTAGAAAATTAGTACTGTCACAACTCTCCATGCTGACCTCATCATCTTTCATTCCCCAAACCCCAACCCAGGCTGCATGTGTGCCCTTCTTTTTTTTTTTTTTTTTTTTTTTTATGTGTCCCCTTCTTAGACACTGATGTCCCTAGCCAGCCAAAACCTCTGTCACTTGTCTTCATCCTACCTTCTCCCACACCCTCTCCCCCAGCGAGTCCCCACCAGTTTTACCTGTTTCTCCAAGCCCTCCACCACTCTCCATCTCCATTGCCACCAACCTGGCCCAGCCAGCATCTCTCTCATATGCCCAGGACACCTGCCTGGTTTCCACCAGCCTCTCTGGACATCCTTGAATCTACTTTCCACATAGAAACTGAGTTCACTCTGGTCATGGTCAGCCACAGGGCCTTTGCACATGCCTCTTTTTAACCTTCTTTCTAATCCTTCCCGCAACTGCAATTCACTCAGACTCTGCTCAAGTGTCACCTCCTCCCGGAAGCTCTCCCAGATTTTCCTGATCAAGTCAAATCCTCCAACACAGCTTCTTTGTGGACACACAGTTATAGGTTGTAATTGTGTATTTGTTTCTGTGATGGCTTGATCAATGTCGGTCTCACACCTGAGACTGACAGAAACTTGAGGACAGGGTCAAGTCTGCTTTGTTCATCATTCTTTGTCCCAGGTCAGCACCGCACCTGCTGCTTGGTAGGTGCCCAATAACCACTTGTTGAGTAAATACACATTCAGTGAAGGGGCAAGCTGTGCACTTCAAGGAATTCCAAACCACAAGGGCTCAAGCAGTTTATGTAGGATGTGGGACCACACCGTTGATTTGGACTTCCGCAACCCCAGACCCAGGCTAGCAGGGTATGGGGCTGCCAACCTGGGTCCTGAGATAAGAAGCTGAGAACAGGCTCAGCCAGAGATCCAGAGTGGTTGCAGTCACAGGACTCCACCACCAGGTGGCGAAGTGGCTTTGCCCACTGGGGAGGCTGGAGCCAGGCCTAAATAAACTGTTCAGTTGGAGGTTGTCAAACTTTTGAGGGGGTGGTCACTGACTCCCTTAAGAATCAATGAGCTCATGAACCTCTGGTTAGAAAAACGTGAAGGGGTGGAGCCAGCGTTTGCGGAGCTCGAGACATGCAATTTGGGGATCCTGTTTATGAAAATAAACACACAATTACAAATTCCAAGTTAGGTCCAAGGATGTACCGGGGGCCAGAGCAAGAGAGAGTCCTGAAGCCTAAGCAGTGGGCCTCACAGTAAATCCGCCTCTACACCTGCCTTATCCTGTACAATGTCAGGAACCTCCCCCAGCCGGCCTTAGAGCCCCCAACCCAGGCTCATGCAGACCCACCTACCCGAACTCAGCCTGCGCTCAGAGACCCAGCCCTGAACTCAGGAGAAACGAGAAGTCTTGGCAAGTCCAGGCTGGCACTGCTCTGCCCGCCAAAGGCAAAGCACCACGATTTCTTTTTCACGGGGGCTCCCTCCACTCCAAGGCTCCCCACTTTTGCCTGATGAACTTGGGGGGCTAGGTGGGGCCATTTGGCCATGGCTTATATGTGGTTGATCTCCAAATGAGATTCGCAGCATCAAGGAGACCTTCTGAGGGGAGAGAGGGACCCCATCCCCGCCCACAACTCTAAGCTCATGCCCCAAACAAGGCCATACCGTCTGCGCCCTGGCTGGGCGCCAGGAATGAATGCTTTTTGTAAGTCCAGTAATTCTCTTCTGATGGACACAGGGATACAGCATAGTATCATTTTGGCATTCAGAGAGTCTGGTTAGTAAAGGTAAGTGTGACAAACACACTGCAGACCCGGTCAGCCTATTTAGGTGCTTAATTTGCTTGAAATGCCTAAAGCCTCCAAATGTCTAATCTCCCTGGAGCTTTGTCAGCCCTGTTACTGTGGCCAGCCCACCTGAGACAGGCCCTCCTTCCTGGCAGGTGCCACAATTCTCGACATTTTATACTGATTTGTGGGGTCACTTGGCCAATTAATGACAGCTCACCTGGTCCCTGGCACACAGCATGGGGCTGACTAGGGTGGAGGGGTTCACAGGCTACGCTCCCTGATGTGCAGAGAGGCCGGGGCAGCAGAGGGAGCCAGCGCCCTGGGCAGATGTTTGAGCCTGGACGAGGCTGGAGCGAGCTGTCTGGGCTACGTCCCAGGGCAGTGGTGACGGGGTTCCAGCCTACAGTGGGGAGCCAGAGAACTGGGCAGGGGCAGGGCTCGAACATGGAGAGCAGAAGGAGAAATACCCTGCTCTCCCTTCCAGAGCTCCCCCAGACAGGACAGGGGCTTCTGGGCCCCTGGCTGCTGTGCTCAGCACTATGGGATCCTCTGTCCGCAGAGGCCAGGGCTACGCTGTGACCACTCCCCAGGGCACAGATGAGGAAACTGAGGCTCAGAGAGGCCAAGGATCCCTTAAGTGGTAGAGGTGGTATCTGAGCCCAGCTGTGTAGGCTCTGGGCTTCCTTGGTGGCTCAGATGATAAAGAAACAGCCTATAATGGGACCCTGCTTACCTATGACACTTTCCATAAATAAAAGCTGAATGAATGCAGAAAGGCAGCCAAGGCCCAGAGAGGTTAAGTAATATGGGAAAGGACACACAGGGCTAGACTCCCTGTCCAGTGCTCTTCCTGGCTAGTGCAGCCCACTGACCCAAGAGAAGATGCTGACAGGAAAGGGGGCCCCTGATGCCAGGCCTCCCCCAACCTCCAGCGGGCCCGCCTGCTATTCCTGAGTGGCTCACCCCGGAACTCCTCGTCCGTGAGGCGCTTCTTGTGGGTCAGCAAGAAGGGGAGCAGCCCATCCAGGTCAGCGGTGGAGCCCCGGGACACGATGTCAAAGAGGATAGGCCGGTTGAAGACTTTGAGGATGGGAGGCGGCTGGGGTGCGGGAGCTTTGGGGCTCTGTGGCTGCTTCCTGAAGAGGGAGGAAGCGGGGTGATAGGAGGGCTCATCCCCTGCCCACCCTCATGGTCTCCAGCCTCAGAGGCCGGAGGATTGTAGGGAAGGGCAGATGGAGCCCTAGGGAGGGGCCAGGCTGAGAGGGGAGAGACATCTGGAGACACAGAAGAATGTTTTACCCCAACACTCTACCTTGTACCTACTGTGTGCTGGGTGGAAACAGACAGAAAGAAGCTCACAAGGTCCCCACCCATCTATCCATCTACCTATACATCCATCCACCCACCCATTTATACATCCAACCATCCACCCATTCACACACCCATCCATCTGCCCACATTCCCACTCCTCTACCCATCCACTTACCCAACCATCTATCCATCCACCCACTCACTCATCCATCCACCCACCCACCCACCCATCCATTCTTCCATCCCCCCCCCACCCATTCACCCACCCACCCACCCACCCATCCATCCATCCATTTGTCATTTATTAAGTGCTAATAAGCCAGAGACTGGAAGAGAAAAAGACACTAAGGACAGAAAGGAGGAACACCAGACTAAAAGATAAAGCAACTCTATCATTTATTCAAATCATTCACTGCTTGATTTATTCATTCAACAAACATTTGAGACAAATGAGGCCATGAACACAGATGCTTAGTTCAAGGCCCCACCACAGTCAACACTGATAAACGTTAGCTGCTGTTCCTGTCATTATTTAGTGCTACTGGCTGTCCGGAGCCTGTATGTGTGGAAGAAATGCTGAGCTACAGAGGCGGGTGGAGAAAGAATAAGGTGGGGAGGGCTGGGGGAGGAGAAGTGATGGAGAAGGAAAGAAGGGCAAAAACAGACAGTCATTCAGCCATTCAATAAGCATTCACTGGGCACCTACTGTGCGCCAGGTTTTGAGAGACAAAGAGCTGGCACAGAGCTGGCCCCGGGGCACCATGTGGGCAGGGACACTCTGTGTCACATCCTCACCCACCCAGCGCCCAGCACATACGGGGGGGCGCAGGAGGAGCCTGTGAAATGAAGACAGAACGGACAGGAGAGGGGGAGACGGGGAGTGCGAAGGGGAGAGTGGAGGGGAGCAGAGAGGGAACCAGAGGCAGCGGGGCCGAAGGGCGAGGGGTCACCGAGCTGTCCAGACCTTGCACCCCAGGACGGGGCCTCCAGCGACAAGGAACCAGGGAAGGGAGAAGAGGTGCTTCTGGACATCAGAGTTGGGGGGCACATAAGCTAGGGCAGCCCCCATTTCATCTGCTCCTGAACCGTGACCTTTGAGCCAAAAAATGAAAAGCACACCCTCGCCCCGCCCCCGTCCTCACTGAGGCAGCCTTCGGGGTCTCTGAAGACCTCAGCTGCTCAGCCGCAGCCCCCCCAAGTCCTCTGCAGCCCCTCCAAAGCCATCAGCCCTGGCTGTCTGAGGTAGTGGTGGGGATGAGGGCCTGAAGGAGGGGGAAAGGGAGCCGAAGAGCCCACCAGCTTCCAGTGCGACCTTCCAAAGGGATCGGGCACCGGGACATCTTACTGCCCTGGGCCTGTCTCCACTTGAGTGGAGGTTACAATTTCATCCTGCAGCTCGCGGACTGTGCTCCTTGGAGACCTCGAGCCCCTCCAGCCTCCACCTGGAATGTTGTTCATCGTGTCTAACTCTTTTCGACCCCATGGACTGCAGCACACCAGGCTTCCCTGTCCTTTACCATCTCCCAGGGTTTGCTCAAACTCACGTCCATTGAGTTGATGAGATCCAGCCATCTCATTCTCTGTCATCCCCCTCTCCTTCTGCCCTCAATCTTTCCCAGCATCAGGAGCTTTTCCAATGAATCCCCTGTGTGGCTGCCGTTTCTCACCCCTTAGAGTTGGGCTTAAATGTCAGCTCCTCCAGGAAGTCCACCTGGATTATGTTTCCTGTATCAGCTCCCTCTCACCTCAGCACCTCCCCCAGGGTGAACTATTTCTTTTTTTTTTCCAGTTCTACCAGTTTATTGCTACCAACCCATCTCCCTCCACCCTCCTCATGCATGCAGGCTCAGTCATGTAATCCCATGGACTGCAGCCCACCAGGCTCCTCTGTCCATGGACTTTTCCAGGCAAGAATACTGGAATGGGTTGCCATTTCCTTCTTCTAGGGTGAACTCTTTCTTTCTTTCTTTTGACCAAGCAGCATGCGTGACCTTCCCTGAGCAGGCTGAACCCATACTCCCTTCATTGGGAGCATGGAGTCTTAACCACTTGACCACCAGATAAGTCCAAAGTGAACTGTCTACTCACTTGCTTTTTAAGTGTTCTGCCCTCCAAACTGAAGGTGCTAGTGACAGCTACTCAGTATCTAAGCTAAGAGGGGGCAGCATCTGGCCTGGCTCATTCCTGGAGCCCCAGGGCCAACCCCTTCCCTAACCTGGCATGTGGTGGGTGGTCCAAAAACATTCACTGAACAAACCAGTGACTCTGTGAATAAACAAAGAAGACAGACAGCTCCTGACCAAGCAGGGGCTGAGAAGGTGGGTGGGCTTCATCCAAGGGCATGAATGAGTCTGTGATCAACATGGGGGGACAGAGGAGGGCCAGAGGACAACAGGACACATGCAGACTTCAAGACTGTCCTCCAGACACACACAGAGGCCCGAGAGGGTTCTGAGGGGATGTCATGCAGAGATGGCTACACAGAGAGATGGCAGGTGAACAGATGGGTCGATAGGTATCCGAATGAGTGATGATGGAGGATAAACTGGACAAGCGGATGGACAGGTGGAAAGGCGGGTAGCTGATAAGAGAGAAAGAGAGAAGGAAAGAGAAATAACAAAAGAGAGATATGGAAATGGAATGAATGAATGAATGATGAATAGTTTGATAGCTGACTGGCTGGATGAATAGAAACAGTGAGTAGATAGGAGAATGGGTGGATGTTTGGGGAGAATATGGTGGATAAATGGAAGGCTGGTTGTATGAGAGGATGACTGGATAGATAGATGGATAGATGGGTAGACAGATAGTTGAGTGAGCAGGTGATGGACACGTGGATGGGGAGATGGATGGACTGGACAAGTGGATGGCTAGATGGAAAGACAGGTAGCTGGATGAATGAATGAGTAGATAATGGGTGGGAGGGTGGGTGGATGGATGGATGGATGGATGGGTGGATGGGTGAATGGGTGAAGTCAATACAGAGGAGACCCTTGGCCAGGCAGCCAGCAATACTCACTCTATGACCTTCCTCCTCCACCGCTTGTTGTCACTGGGGTGGTGACGATACGTGCCGTAGTCAAAGAGTGAGTCCATGGGCGCCTTCTTGGGCCCGGGCACCACCGAGGACTCGTACAGGGTGGACTCCAGCAGGTCGATGGGGTTGGGCACCCCCTTGCGGAAGGCGCCCTGGAACTTCATGCGCAGGTTTGGGCGCCCGTCGCCTGGGCCGGCGGGGCGACCACCATCAGCTGGCGAGAGCGACGGGGAGCCGTCCTCCCCCTCGAACAGGTTGGCCAGTGACGACAGGGGGAAGGCCTCCCCGCCAGGGGGGCCGCTCTCATCCCCGGGGAACTCGGTCGCCTCCCCGGGGCTCCCGTGGGGGCCTTCGCGGGGATCCGCCATGCTGCCCGGGTACCCGTCCACACGGCTTGGCCTGCAAGGGAACAGGAGGAGCGTCAGGCCGGCTCCAGGAAGCCCCCCTCCCACGTGGGCAAACAGCACTGCTGCCAGCTGCTTCAAAGCCACCCTTGTAATGACAGGGGTGCAGGGTGGCCACTCCCAGATGTGGTTGGCCGCCAGCCCCCGGCAGGAGCTGCAACAGGAGCCCCATTCAGGGACCTGGAAACACGAGTCCTCCTTGGGTCCAGCTACCCTGGACATCAGCTGGAGAGGGAAGGGCCTGAGAATCACACCAGGTCCCCAAACATAGAGCCTGGGTCTTACTCCTGGCCAACCAAACCAGCTTTGGAGCACCCAGAGCAGGGTTTGAATCCAAGTTCTGCATTTAGCCACCATGTGACAGGAAAGCCGATGGTTCACAGCCTCAGTTTCCTCATCTGTGAAATGGGGACAAAGCAGAACGCATGTGATCCAGTGGCCTGTGCTGTGCCTGCCACACAGAAAGCACCTACTAAAACAGAACCATGGAATGCATGCTGCAGGCATACTAGGTGCTCAGGAAATACACATGAACTCACTGCGGGAGTCAGGACCCCTCAACTTCCCAGCGCCATCATTATGACCCCATTTCACAGAACAGGAAACTGAGGTTCCAAGGGTTTAGTCAGCCATGCCCAAACTCTGCTCCCCAGTGCCAAGCGCTGGCCCCTTCCCTCCCCTCTTTGCCTGGTTAGCTCCTGCCCACCTGTGTTCCCAGTTCATGTCGCTTCCTCTGGGAAGCGCTCCCCGACCATCTGTTCGTGGGATTAGTTAATTCCCGGGCTGTGAGTACCGGAGGGTAGGGAAGGCCTCTATCTTGTCCACACCTGCATCCCCCACACCTTGAGGGGTGCCACACGGACACACGACCTGATGACAAAGGTATTATTTATTCTCATTTGTCAGGTGAGGGAAATGGAGCTTGAAGAGGGCAAGCCACACAGCTTGTAAGGAGATGAGCTGGACCTGAACCAGGTTTCTCTGGCTCCCAGGCCCAATGTTTAGCTAGGAGAAGGGCAAGGGAGGGACGGCCTGCTGGCTGTCAGCCCCCTGCCCTCTGCAGCACGCCACGGGGTGGGCTGGACACCAAGGATGAGTTTCCTGGAACTCCTCACATCCCGCCCGGGCTGCAGAGAAATGTCTGAAAAGCTCTCTTTTCTACATCTCTCCCTCCGCGCACGTTAGCAGAACAAATAAAGATTGGTCCCCACCTTGTTTGTTTTTGGTTGCCAGGAGACAAGGCGAGGGCCCCTGGAAGAGGCCTCTCCTGGCGGGCATAGCACGGCACACGGAGGGTCAGAGCTCCTGCCTCGGACGGGCCCCACTCTGGGCACAAATGGGGAGGCAAAGCCTGGATTTCAGACTCTTCCAGGCCTGGGTTCTAATCCCAGCTAAGCTATTTCCGTGTAGCATGACCTTGAGAGAGTGTCCCAAGCCTCACTCTTCTCATCTATAAAATGGGTACAACAGTAGTAGCTTTTTCACACATTTGCAGGAAGAATTAAATGAGATCGGGCATGTCCAGTGTTGACCCTGGGGTTAAGCTGGGGGCTGTCGATGAGCACAATCAGAGAGGGAAGGAAGGGCTAGGTGCACAGGTGCTGAAATCACTTCTACCCGGTTCCCCTCTCAGTTAGGTTCAGTCGCTCAGTCGTGTCCGACTCTTTGCGACCCCATGAACCACAGCATGCCAGGACTCCCTGTCCATCACCAACTCCTGGAGTTCACCCAAACCCATGTCCATCGAGTCGGTGATGCCATCCAACCGTCTCATCCTCTGTCGTCCCCTTCTCCTCCTGCCCTCAATCCCTCCCAGCATCAGGGTTTTTCCAATGAGCCAGCTCTTCACATCAGGTGGACAAAGTATTGGAGTTTCAGGTTCAACATCAGCCCTTCCAATGGACACCCAGGACTGATCTCCTTTAGGATGGACTGGTTGGATCTCCTTGCAGTCCAAGGGACTCTCAAGAGTCTTCTCCAACACCACTGTTCAAAAGCATCAATTCTTCAGTGCTCAGCTTTCTTTATAGTCCAACTCTCATATCCATACATGACCACTGGAAAAACCATAGCCTTGACTAGACGGACCTTTGTTGGCAAAGTAATGTCTCTGCTTTTTCATATGCTGTCTACGTTGGTCATAACTTTCCTTCCAAGGAGTAAGCGTCTTTTAATTTCATGGCTGCAATCACCATCTGCAGTGATTTTGGACCCCAGAAAAACAAAGTCAGCCACTGTTTCCACTGTTTTCCCATCTATCTGCCATGAAGTGATGGGACTGGATGCCATGATCTTAGTTTTCTGAATGTTGAGCTTTAAGCCAACTTTTTCACTCTCCTCTTTCACTTTCATCAAGAAGCTCTTTAGTTCTTCTTTGCTTTCTGCCATAAGGGTGGTGTCATCTGCATATCTGAGGTTATTGATATTTCTCCTGGCAATCTTGATTCCAGCTTGTGCTTCCTCCAGACCAGCGTTTCTCATGATGTACTCTGCATATAAGTTAAATAAGCAGGGTGACAATATACAGCCTTGACGTACTCCTTTTCCTATTTGGAACCAGTCTGTTGTTCCATGTCCAGTTCTAACTGTTGCTTCCTGACCTGGATACAGGTTTCTCAAGAGGCAGGTCAGGTGGTCTCATATGCTCATCTCTTTCAGAATTTTCCACAGTTTATTGTGACCCACACTGTCAAAGGCTTTGGCATAGTCAATAAAACAGAAATAGATGTTTTTCTGGAACTCTCTTGCTTTTTTGATGACCCAGCGGATGTTGGCGATTTGATCTCTGGTTCCCCTGCCTTTTCTAAAACCAGCTTGAACATATGGAAGTTCACAGTTCACGTATTGCTGAAGCCTGGCTTGGAGAATTTTAAGCATTACTTTACTAGCGTGTGAGATGAGTGCAACTGTGTGGTAGTTTGAGCATTCTTTGGCATTGCCTTTCTTTAGGATTGGAATGAAAACTGACCTTTTCCAGTCCTCTGGCCACTGCTGAGTTTTCCATATTTGCTGGCATATTGAGTGCATCACTTTCACAGCATCATCTTTCAGGATTTGAAATAGCTCAAATGGAATTCCATCACCTCCACTAGCTTTGTTTGTAGTGATGCTTCCTAAGGCCCACTTGACTTCACATTCCAGGATGTCTGGCTCTAGGTGAGTGATCACAGCATCGTGATTATCTGGGTCGTGAAGATCTTTTTTGTACAGTTGTGTGTATTCTTGCCACCTCTTCTTAATATCTTCTGCTTCTGTAAGGTCCATACCATTTCTGTCAGGTCCATACCATTTCTGTCCTTTATCAAACCCATCTTTGCATGAAATGTTCCCTTGGTATCTCTAATTTTCTTGAAGAGATCTCTAGTCTTTCCCATTCTATTGTTTTCCTCTATTTCTTTGCATTGATTGCTGAGGAAGGCTTTCTTATCTCTCCTTGCTAGTCTTTGGAACTCTGCATTCAAATGGGAATATCTTTCCTTTTCTCCTTTGCTTTTTGCTTCCCGTCTTTTCACAGCTATTTGTAAGGCCTCCTCAGACAGCCATTTTGCTTTTTTTGCATTTCTTTTTCTTGATTCCTGTCTTCTGTACAATGTCACGAACCTCCATCCATAGTTCATCAGGCTCTCTGTCTATCAGATCTAGTCCCTTAAATCTATTTCTCACTTCCACTGTATAGTCATAAGGGATTTGATTTAGGTCATACCTGAATGGTCTAGTGGTTTTCTCCACTTTCTTCAGTTTAAGTCTGAATTTGGCAATAAGGAGTTCATGATCCAAGCCACAGTCAGCTCCCGGTCTTATTTTTGCTGACTGTGTAGAGCTTCTCCATCTTTGGTTGCAAAGAATATAATCAGTCTGATTTCACTGTCAACAATCTGGTGATGTCCATGTGTAGAGTCTTCTCTTGTGTCGTTGGAAGAGGGTGTTTGCTACGACCAGTGCGTTCTCTTGGCAGAACTCTATTAGCCTTTGCCCTGCTTCATTCTGTACTTCAAGGCCAAATTTGCCTGTTACTCCAGGTGTTTCTTGACTTCCTACTTTTGGATTCCAGTCCCCTATAATGAAAAGGACATCTTTTTTGGGTGTTAGTTCTAGAAGATCTTGTAGGTCTTCATAGAACCGTTCATCTTCAGCTTCTTCAGCGTTACTGGTTGGGGCATAGGCTTGGATTACCGTGATATTGAATGGTTTGCCTTGGAAACGAACAGAGATCATTCTGTCATTTTTGAGACTGCATCCAAGTACTGCATTTCAGACTCTTTTGTTGACCATGATGGCTACTCCATTTCTTCTAAGGGATTCCTGCCCACAGTAGTAGATATAATGGTCATCTGAGTTAAACTCACCCATTCCAGTCCATCTGAGTTCACTAATTCCTAGAATGTTGATGTTCACTCTTGTCATCTCCTGTTTGATCACTTCCAATTCGCCTTGATTCATGGACCTAACATTCCAGGTTCCTATGCAATATTGCTCTTTACAGCATTGAATCTTGCTTCTATCACCAGTCCCGTTCACAACTGGGTGTTGTTTTTGCTTTGGCTCTATTCCTTCATTCTTTCTGGAGTTATTTCTCCACAGATCTCCAGTAGTATACTGGGCACCTACTGACCTGGGAAGTTCATCTTTCAGTGTCCTATCTTTTTGCCGTTTCATACTGTTCATGGGGTTCTCAAGAAGACTGAAGTGGTTTGCCATTCCCTTCTCCAGCGGACCACATTCTGTCAGACCTCTCCACCATGACCCGTCCGTCTTGGGTGGCCCCACACGGCATGGCTTAGTTTCACTGAGTTAAACAAGGCTGTGGTCCTGTGATCAGATTGGCTAGTTGTCCATGACTGTAGTTTCAGTCTGTCTGCCCCCTGATCCCCTCTCGCAGTGCCTACCGTCTTACCTGGGTTTCTCTTGCCAGAGGTTCCCCTCTGGGCCCTGGTTAGTCAGCAGCTGTGAGATCTTGGACAAAT